AGGTGCACTTGACAAATACTGTGTACCCCATTGTAGAGTCTGTTTCTCCTCCCCCAAAGCCAAAGTTTCGCCTTAAAGAAAAAGGTCCCCCGGTTTTCGCTGTTCGAACGGTTGCGGCAGTGCAACATTGGCCCATTGGTCGCTCGAGACGGTCCAGGTTGTCACCTGGGGGGGAGTGTCCTATCGGGATAATTCCAGGGTATTTTGAAAATTCTGAGGGAACTGGAAATGTGTCTGTTGTCTGGAGCATACCTGTAGACTCCTCTGGATCCGAATCCGAAGTACCTGAGTTTGGGGCTGAGTCGGACTGTGGGGACTTAGAAGACACCGAAGTTGGGGTTAAGGCCTTAGATAAGGTGCGGGTGCCTAATGAAGATGATGCCTATTCTTTGAATCCTGTAGGGGTCACTGAAGCTTTAGATGTACTGAGGGCGGTAGTCGATAGTGTTCCACGGCCGAGCCGAAAGGTGATGGGCAAGTGTGGGCGTTGTGCGATTGCTGGACTGTATAGTCAAGGGGGTTTTAAGGGAGTATCGAGGTTTGCAAAAGAGAATGTAGACCTGGTGCGATTTCTGAATAGGTTTGTTCAGGGACAGGGTTTGGATTCCCCGTATACTACCCTCTACGTGTCGTACAATGCAGCAGCACCGTTACATCGAGATGCCCGGAATGAACGATCGGTTCCAGTATGGGTAATTGCTCTTGGTGACTTTAAGGGTGGAGGTCTTTGGGTAGAAGGCGATGGGGATCAAGGTCCTGTTGTTCGGGTTTTGCCATCAGGTGAGACCAGAGCGGGCTGTATCCAAGACATTCACAATAAGCCTTATAAGTTTGATGGGCTGAAATGGCATTCTGCTGAGCCTTGGTCTGGTAAGGATCGATGGGTCATAGCAGCGTATGTGCCCATTGGGGCTTGGGATTGCTTAGATGAGTATGGGAAGGAGCTAAGGGACTTAGGATTTCCGGTTGAGGGTCTGGGGTCTAGCTCTGGTAACGGACCTGTATGTCATCGGGTGATCTACACCGAAGGGGGTGGCCTCGAGATTGGGCAAGAATCTATTGGTGATAATGTAGGTTCTCAATTGTCGGATGACGGTGCGGATGAGCTTGATACCGAAGTCTTGTGGGAGATAGACTGTCCCCGCGAGGTACTTGGTGAGAATTGGCTTGATAATGCGGTGTCTCTTCATGAGTCTTCGGCGCGGCTGTGTCGTGCTCTAGCGCAGGAGCTCAGTACTGCACATGGGGTCTGTACCGATGTAGGGGTGCTGGTAGGGCAGCTAGCTATTGCCGAAAATGAGAGGGATTGGTATGAGGGTCTTCTCTGGGAGGAATATCTAGTTGGTGGTTCCAGCATTGTGAAGTCTCTTTGCAGGGATGTTCCATTAGGCTCGGACGAGCCGGCTTGCGCCGCGGAGGTCTTTTTACAGACGCGTACCGTTAGCATTGCCGAGGCGAGGAAAGAGCTGGCCTTGTGGATTCCTTCAGCCCTTGAGGAAGTTACTTCATTGGAGCAGACGAACCAAGCAGTCCTTCGCATTGTTATTGCAGACATTGAGGAGTTGATAAAGGAAGGAAAACGAGTGGTGCAAGTTCCTGGGAAGGCTGTCCTGACAAGGAAGGCTGGAATTGGGAAACGTCGATTCAGGTGTGTGGCTTGTGGGAATTACATCCCTAGTTGCTTGCTGGGCTTGCGATTTTGGCTGTTTTGCCTCCTGTTGAAGGGCACTCCTTATCTGTGACTAGCAGGGCGGTGATTGTTGGAGCAGGTTTGGGCTCGGTTGGCGTGTTGGGGCAACCTTTCAGGGGTGCTCAGGAGATATGGGCGTTTGGCCAGTGGTGGTTTAGTTGGGTAGTGGTAGGGTTGTGCATAATTATAGGTGGCTTATGGTACCTAAGTTGGTGTTACAGATGCCCTGATGGATCGCCGGTAAATACCGAGATTCTTCATGCTTTCGTCGAACCGCCTGAGCCCGAAACCCAGGTTCCGAATCTGTCAACAACTGATAATTCTGTTCAGGGCATCCCAGATAATGCTGGTTGCGCCTGGAATGGTCCGTCGTCCTCTGGTGAGGAGGAGGAATCTGAGGATGAGGAGCGGGTCCGTAGAGCTGAAGAGGAGATGAGGGCTAAGGAAAGGTATACTGGTTTAACTTTCATTCAGCGGGTTCGGTTAAGGAAGCAATTGATGCAAGGTGATGTTATTGATGTCCCTAGCATGCAGCAACGGTATGGCCCTCTCCCACCGTGGTTTTCTGGAATTGAGGATGATGAATCGGGTGATGTTCCTTCCGGGTCGAACTTTCAGGTTGGGGGGAGCAGCTCTAGTAATGAACCTTTGAACCCAGGAGTTCCAGGTGTTGGGATTGAGAATCCTCCGCAAAATCCGATCGAAATTGGAGATGCTGAGTTTGGACTCAGTCAAGGACTTGGGTTTCCTTATGTTGGGACCGAGCCAGGCATAGGAACACATTACCTTTGGATTCTGTTTGAGCTTCAGGGTGATGTGCTACTAGCATGCCTGGGGCACCAGGTTGTTTCGTGGGAGTGTCTTCGAGGTACTGCTAGGGGTTTTAGAATACATGCGGTTCTGGCCATAATGAACTGGCTGAGTGACACTGGGGCTACGCTTAGCTGTAACAATGGGATTCAAGGGGAAGCTACGTTTAGGTTTGTTCTGGTAGGGGATAGGCATCAGTGGGTTCCTGTTTCTGTACGTCCAATTGGTGATTGCGGCAGTGGCGACCTTGTGATTGCGCAGTCATCTCAGCATGAGTTGAGCAGCAGCTCCAGGGTTAGGCCTGATGCGCAAACTGTTTCTTTGAGCAGCGGCAGTGAATTACCGTCCGGAGCGCAGCCGAATCTTGATGGAGGGAGCAGCGGCTCTGATGGGTTGGTAAATGCGCAGCTTGAGGATTCGATAGGTTGTTATGAGGATTTGTTTGAGGGGTTAGCCGAGCCGGTTTTCCCGATAGTAGGGGGCTTTTGTCCTAGGCACTTCTTGGTAATCCTTCTGAATACTCAATCTGAGACCCTGCTTGGCTTTCTTGGTCACTGGGGACCGGAGTGCGTGAACCTGCTGAGAGCTTCTGCGCATCTACGGGTAGGCATTGTGTGTGCCACTGCTGATGTTCTAAGATCGGGGTCTAATAGTCTAGCTTATGAGGGTCCTCAGTGGTTCGCTTTAGTGCAGGAGTTTATTCTTGGGATCCGAGGGTCTAGTGAGATTGTTGACGACCCGGGAAGTTGTGAGCAGGGCAGTGTGCTGGCTCCTATGCCAAACGTTCAGGAAGGTGGAAGTAGCGGAAGTTCTGACCCCACGCCATCTGCGGCGGGAGTGATCATGCATGGAACTGAGGCGTTTCCTTATGTTACCATTGCAGCTCAGGATGCCGAAGATGACCCGTCACTAGATGATTTTCCTCATAGGCAACCGTATGTTCCGGTGTTAGAGAGAATTCCTCTTGCGGTTGTGTTTGAAGATACATCGTCGGATGAAGCGTCGTCAAACGAAGAGGTTGAACTTGCGTCGACCACAGAGCCTTCTATCGTGACCTATAGTAGTGTCAGCAGCGTTTTGAGTCCTCGTGAAGGGCTCTTTGATGAATCACCGGAGGTCTCGAGCGAATCTCATGCTGTTGTATCTTCAACTCAGCCTCTAAGATACGAAGCCGAAGAAGGGGGCTTTGTGGTTTATTACGGGGATGATGTAGGCCGGGTCCCACTACCGGGTTGGAGTCTTCAAGAGATTTCCGAGGTTGTTCAGGGTCTTAATTCTGGGGATTGGTCGGCATTTCAGGGTGCTGATTGTACCGAGATAGATTGGGATCCACATCCAAAGGAGTCTGGAACAGAAGCGGAAGTTCCTGCGGTTGAGGTGCTAGGTCTTAGAGGATTGCGGTTGGCAGCATGGTGTGCTGCATTGCTTGCGTGGATCATCATTCTCGGTGGGTGGCTGTCCACCGTCAGTCTTAGAAGACAGTCTTGAGCCTTGTCGGAGGACTGTAAGCTTCCTTCGAAACATGGGCTGATCTGAGGATCGGAAGGGTTGCCAATCTCATATTGGGCTTTTATAGTCAGGTCCTGCTAAGTTAGGCTGATTCAACCCGTTGTTGATCTCAGATTGCTCTGTAAACGTTCGAGATGCCAGCGGTCAGACATTTTCTGTCTGGTTTTTGTCTCTACCTGTAGATCAGAGTCAGTGTCAACAGATGGCGCTTGCTGATGAGTGTTTGAAGGACTCTTGAATTTTCCGTTTAATCTCTTGTTCACATACCCTGTGCAGGGGTATGTGAAGGGGGAGTGCGTGAGTCTGATCAGCGAGCCCTGCGCACAGGAAGACACGAGAACCTCTGTGGACATGCAGGCTGTCTTTTGCTCGAAAAAACTGGTGGAGGCCGACTGGATTCAGGGTTCTAGTTATCTGTGGGGTTGTGATCAAGGGCTATCCCTGGTTCTAGGCCCCCAGTGGGTGGTCTCATAAGGCGTTCGCGTAATACACGTATTGGGTCATCATTTTCACGTACTAACCCCTAAACCCCTAAACCCTAAACATGGCGCGGCAAGCTGTTTGGGGCTGCAGCTTTTGGGTTTAAGTTAGGTAAACCCTAACGGTAAACCCTACACTACGGTGTAGTAAAGGCGATGCGTTCTGACTAGGCTGGAGGGCTTGGGCTTAAACATACACACAGTCGCGAAGGCATAGTATGCAAGTTTAGGAGACCAGCAAGCTGCTTCCGTTGCGAACTGCCGGGAACTGGCAGCCGCAAACCAGAGCCCCCCAAACCCTAAATCGCCTAAACCCTAGATGAACGAGCCACCACTATCCAACAAAGCTCTAAACTCTCTAAACTCGAGTCCGCCTGCTTGTCCTTTTGCGTGTAGGGAACCGCCCCGAATCCAAGTGAAAAGAACTGGGATTCGAAAAGGAAATTCTGTCCTGTAGAAACCCTGAGCCATTCCAACTTACAACTTTGAAGCACCACAGCTAAGCTCACGACAATGGCAGCCGTGATGTTCAGGATGATGTTGGGCTCCTCCGGCGCAAAGAGCTGCAAAATTAAGATCACTGATGCAGGGGCCTCATGATCTGAATAGGGCTTGAGGGCTTGTGCTTGCTACGCATAGGCCCCATAGTAGTCCCTTTTGGGGATTACCTTATGGGATTCTATATATGAACCCCCAAAAGGAACTACTAAAAGGAACTACTACGGGGCCTCTGGACATATCAGCCCCCAAATCCACAACCCCTGCCCAAGCTCTACAATCCGACGGCTTCGGTGTCTCGCGCCTCATGTCATCTCCTGCTATAGAAGTTGCCAAAATTAAGGTTACCTTGTTATACTATCTAAGTTCTGAGGATATATGCTAGAATGCGATGAAGTCTCCTATAAGAGAGGTTGCAGGAAGATGTATATTTAGACCCTGAGTGATTGTAGAAGCATCACATGATTTCTCCGAACCCTCATCGTGTGCCCCCGATCTCTGAACCTCCGCTCAAAGCCGAAACCCTAAGCCCTAAACCCTGAACCCCCTGAAACACTGAAACTCTGAAACCGGAAAAAAAACTGAACCCCGAAACCTGTCAACCCTGATCTAATCTGCTGCACTTATAACTACCCATCAACCTCCAAGTAGCCCAACAATTTCGACAAGCTGGGGCGGGGGCATTCTGTCGCTGCCTTTGGGTTGGGGGTCCAGGGAGTCTAGGCTCTGTGGTAATTCGCTTGGGGTCTTTGGTTAAGGTTAGGGACTCATTGTGATTGGTTTGGGCTTTGGAGTCTGGGTGCTTCGGTTAGGTCTCGAGGTTTAGGGTTGAGGTCAGGGTTTGCTTTGGGGTTCTCTGTTGGAGCGTTGGGGTTCAGGGTTGCCTGGCTCCAGGCACCAGTCCCTCATCAACAGCAATTTCCCCAAAGCGGCTTTTCAACACGCGAACGCCCAAGGCCTGAACGACAAAAATGGACGCATGCATCCACGTACACACGCTTACATAGGCATGTAGGCATGCAGTGCAATGTAATGTCGTGCCATCGCATGCCATGCAAAATCTTGACAAGCGATTTCATGCCATGCCAGGCATGTACGGCTGATCCTCAGATTTACAGGTACTTACACCATCGCAGCTGTGAAGCACGAAGAACACTAAAGCAAGAGCATCGGCGGTAGCGGCAACAGGAGGAAGAACAACCACAAGGCACATAACGGAATCAGACTGTGCTTTCTTGTTTATAGTCAAACACGTATCCGCAAATGCCGCGGCCTCAATTGACGTTGAGATAACAATAAGAATATCAACCGTAATGATGGTCTTTATATATAATCGTAACACCACTACCACCGCCACCAGCACCAGCACCGGCACCGGCACCGGTAACAGCACCGCCAGCACCAGCACCAGCACCAGCCAGCTCCAGCTCCGCCACTGCAATCCCCACCCCCTCAATTGGGTAAACATGTCCCCTTCTAATGCCCTATACTATGAGGGCTTGCTGTTTAGGGTTTAGGGCCGGGGTTTAGAGGTTTAGGGTTTTTGGTTTTCTAATGCCCTATACTACTCGTACGAGTCCTTGTATTCACCGCCCCAATGCGACCGCCGAAAACCCTCTGTCCCAGAACCGATCACCTACATATGCTTAAGCACCCCAAAGCAACGCTAAACCGCGTTCTCTATTGCAGTTCAAGTATAGCAGTATAACAGACCACCAAGCCCTCTTCTGAGTAAGAAGGCTCGTATATTAACTAGAGCCAAGGTAGTCGGGTCATTAGCCCTCAGTAACCCCCAACCCCCAAGCCCTTAAATCCTACACCTCAAACGCTGAACTTGGGGGTTTAGGGTTTAGGGTTTACGGTCCAATGCTGCGGGGACCCTGAAGCCCCGTCTGAGAGCGTCGCTGAACCTCCCAGGCCGCAATGGCTGCGGTCAGAAGGAGGCCAGCACTCAGCCTTCAGTGGTAGTAGTAGTAGTAGTAGTAGTAGTAGCAGTAGTAGTAGTAGTAGTAGCAGTAGCAGTAACAGTAGTGAATGCATATGTATATACACACAGTTTCAGAGGAAGTAGCTCAGAGGCGGTCCGAGTGACAGCCCAGAGTGTTTAATTACACAGAAAAACCCGTCGTTTTGAGGAGCTTGGTGTATTGGACACCACTGACCCTGAAACCTTTAAGCCTCAGATCCTTCAAAAACTCTACACCCAAAAACCCTGAAACCTTTCTGGCCCAAATCCTTCAAAACCGAGCGTGCTGACTCGAAAACCCAAAGCCGAAAACCGTGTGTCAACCCGGAGAAGAGGAACCTGGGCAACTCGTACTGGTTTCCCAAGAGTTAGGGCTTAAGGGCTTATTTTAGGGTTTTAGAGGGGGTTTGGGATTTAGGGTTTCGGGTCTGTTTAGGGTTTATGGGGGGTCTGGAGTCCTTATGGCCTAGTCCAAGTAGCGTTTAGGGTTTAGGGGTCTAGGGTTTAGGGTGTATGACACTCAGAAAACTTCTAAGCTCCTCGCAGAACCAAACCCCAAACCCTACCCTAAAATAAAAACGCCCCTTCAGCCACAAGCTTAGGATGCCAGGGGCAAGGCAGATTCGACGCTCTCCGAAGGACCTTGCAGTTCCAGGACTGTTCAAAAGGCCTTTTATTGCATGAGGTCCAGCCGGTTTCCGGCCTGCACTAATACAGATCACTTTTAGTGTTTAGGGTTAACCTGAACACACTCCTTGGGAATCTTTGCGTAATGAGTGCGTCTCATGGGTCGGAGGCGAAGGTAGATGGGGAGCCAGCTCTTACCTTCAGGTTCGGTAATGATTCCTCTCCTTCGTAATTTCTCCTATATCCTAACACCTAGAACCCAATGGTATAACTTAGTCCTAGAATTTAGTTCACTAAGAATATCTACATTAACGGATGCCTGACATGATGTGGCATTTCTCGTGCTGCCATGAAGCTGGACCTTAAGCTTCTTAGCACGATGTAGCACGTAGCGCTTGGAACCCCCGCACCCTCAACCTTACAGCCCTGAGAGCCCGGCGCCGTTGTTGCTTCGAGACCATGGCTTGACGGAATTCTCCAGTAAGCTTACGACAGCCTTGGAACGACGAAGAATCATCGTGGGCACGGCGCTCGGCAGCTTAGGAGGAGGAGGAGGAGGAGGAGGCGAAGCACATAAAATTGAGCTTCGTACTGCTTAAGTACGCATACCAGCCTTCTACTATATACTGCCAGTATCACTGCTGCTGTCACTCTTGTCATGAACGGTACCACCGTGTTGGGTGTGGCCTTTGGTATTGCTGGGGCACTGGTGCTTGCTGTAATTAGCTCTCATCGCCTAAGGCCTCTTATCACGACTAGTGTCCACTCACATCACTCCCCATGCACACTGCAGCCAAGGCTAGGACGAGTCATTGGGGTTCAGAAAGAAGCAATGCCGGAATCAGGATCCCGGGTGGGTAGAAGGATATCCGACGCACAACAGGCTTTGTCTGGCACAAAGCCTCGAACCTGTAGCGTGGGCATGGATTTATACCCAAGCTTTAGATTGAGCCCACCAGGCTCTAGCCCGGAAACAGTAAGGCAGTAAGTTGCGAAAGTGAGAGAAATCGAAAGCAGGGTAAGACACCACTGCCGATGCATCAGAAGTTCTGACCCCGACTTAGACCACGCCTTTGGCAACACGAAACCCTCTCAGCATCAGGCGATGAGGGTCATCTGGGACATGATGCGCAAAATCCTGCTTCAGGTTCAACGGAGATCTCCAGGTAAAGCTGGTGGACTCTTGCGGTTTCAGATCAACCCTAAAACCCTAAACGCTGCCTGAACCCTATAAAACCCTGCCTTCTAGGGCTCCGTATATGATTTCCTTGTTTCAGTTCATAAAAAAAGGTAAGGTAAACCCTAAATCCCAGACCTCCCCCGAAACTTCCTGACACCTTCGCGATCGGAATGCCCTCTCAAATCTCTCGAAACTGAGGATGGGGTCTAGCGTAGGGATTCGGATTTCGGGCTTAGGAGTTCGGGGGCGTTAGGTCAAGGATTTCTCAGCTCCAAGGGTGCTTTTGAACAAGAAGCGAGGAAGCGGAAAGGACAATGGGGCCGCTGAATCGCGTCCTTCCCAGCCCGAAACCCCTACGCCTAGAGGCCCTGCACTGCACGCAGGGATGGCGAAAGCCTTTTGGGGCTTGAGTCTCTTGGGGATTCAAGGTGCATACATTCAGGTTCTAGAAAGGAACTGTTGGCGTAAGCAACATCGGAAGCTAAAGCGAAGGAGTTCAGAAGGAGACCCGTTTCCGCAAACAGGATCACAAACAAGAATAGATCAAACACCATCGAGTATGTTAGCTGATGGGCTACTCTAGACCCTAAACCCGAATCAGAAACGACCGCAAACAGTGCAACTCCGAGTCATCAGAAGATAAGGAAGCCTTGCACTCAATCAATAGCAGGATCCTTATAATGCGGACCCTGAAAACCCAAAAACCCCTTAAAACCCTAAAACCCTAAACCCCTGAACCCCTACACCCCTTGTAGAACCCTCGTAGATCCCTGGAAAGGAACCCAAAAGAAGCCATCCGAATCGGCCTGCCCGGCACCGCCATCAGCAGGAAAGACGCGGCGGAGCGGCCGACCCTGAGAAAACTCTCGTAGCAATAGTAACATATGGGTGGTTGACAAAATTAGGGTCCCCTTTTGGGTACCCTAAATATTAGGTGCCGTATGATAATAGGCACCCAAAAAGGGACTCTAATTTTGACAACCGCCCATATACTAACCATAGAAATGACAGTGACAAGAGCAAAAACGATGGTAGCAATAGCAACCGATAGACATAGACACCACGAGCACCATGATGGTCTCAACAAAGCAACCCAGCATTGTTTATCCTTCCTTCGAAGAGCTCCAAGGCTAACATAGGGCCTTCATAGTTGCAAGCCACAATTGTGTTATAGATGTATTAGGGAGTAAAAGTGAACAAGGTCAGTGATAACTAGAGTAAGGCTGGGGGAATATCGTGCCAGAGTTATCTTCGGGACCATAGGACTATTAAAATATCTATTCCGGACCTATATTAGGGCTTAGGGTCTAGGGTTTAGCAATTATTCAGCCGACAGCTGGATATCTGGCCCTTGCCTGTACATGGCTTGCAGAGTTTCTGCCTGAGGCTTTCAAAGTTCTCCGGGAGCTTGGGGCTTGGGGTGTAATGTAGGAACTCGATTAAGAAACCTTGGGCCTTTATTAGGGTTCCTTATATGAATCCTACTATTTTGGGGGGTTATAGGGCCAGCCAGGGTTTGTTAATCAGGTTCCTACCTTAATTGGCTTCTTAGAGCCTGTGAGTCTGTGCGAAGTTTCGAAGCTGCAACCACCAAACCCGTGATCACAATCCTGAACTTGCAAAGCCTAATCCGTAATCCTATAGCCCCCATAAGCTCGAATCCCTAATGCCTAATTCCGAAACCAACAAACTAAACCATTATAAGCCTAAAACCTTTTATGCTACATCCGGAACTCTCAAAGCCATATATAAATATATGTATACATACATACATACATACATACACATAATAATAGTAATACTCATCATCATCATCATCATCATCACTTCAGAAGAATTTCAACGACGGAGCCCCAGGTCTCCCAAAGCCCAAGGAGGTTTCGGAGCTTTCGCGCGAGGCCCTGCTAGGGCAACCCCTGAGGTTCCTAAATTAAAGGGTCCCTCTGTGGGTGGTTGTCAAAATTCTGGTCCCTTTTTGGGTCCCTAGTATAATACGGCACCTATGATTTAGGGTACCCGAAAAAGGGACCCTAATTTTGACAACTACCCATATGAGTCCGTCCCTGTCAATGTTTTTTTTGAAAGGGCTAATTCCTAAAAAGCAGATTCAGGGGTCAGGAAATCCTACATTGCGTGCTCTAGTAGGTTGGGATTTAAAGTTTTGGGTTTGGGGTTTACGTTTAACCCTAAAGTGCCCGATGCCATACACAGCTTGAAATCCGAAGTGAACGGCTAAGCCCGGAGCATGAGGACGTCCCACCAGTACATACCGTACTTGTAGCCTGCAGTGGTCAGACCAAGCCGCCAGGGAGTTGGGAGCCCCAAAAGCGGACGCGGTGCCCGGTACCAGCTTGCAATCTCCAACCCTAAGCCCTCTCCCAATTATTTCTGAATTGGGGGTTTCCGAAATTTAGGGGTACCTTATTTTGGGGTCCCTATAATAAGGATCCTACTATTTAGGGTGCTATATTAGGGTTCCCTCTTCTCGGAAACTCCTGATTAAGTTCCTGAACCCCCCTAAACCCTAAGCCTTATTAGATACCCGACGACTCTCCACCCTCTTCCCACGCAGGCAAAACCTACAAATGCGTGCAGGTTTTGATGAGACTCTGGCTTGGAGGCACAAATTCACAGGCTTCTGGGTTCGCTGAAGATTGGAACTTCTGATGAGTTGGGGCTCATCGGGCGATTGGAACTTCAGAGTGCAACGAGTTGGCTCCTTGAATCTCGACTGAAGCAACCGACCTTGGTTCCAAAAACCTGTACTAATAGGTAAAATGATGGCCCAATTCCCCCAAAAGGCTATTATTCTACATACTTTTGGGGTCCAGGTAAGCCCTCACCCTCAAACCTCCAACTATAAACCCTCAACCGTGCAGCAATGCGCAATCCCCAACCTAAACCCTAAACCCAAAAACCCTAAACCCTAAACCCTAAACTGACTTCTGCCATGCCTGCGTTCAGGAAGGCCACGGCCTCCATGGTGGCCCTAAGCAGCAAAGATTGACTTAAAGGAACCTGTAAGGCACTGTAGGGTCCTATCATGGGTCCCTTGAAGGGCATTGTAGGGGTCTATAGTAGGCTTCTTTTGGGTACTGCCCCCTTACAGTAAGAGTCTATAATAGGGCTACTAGTAAGGTCCTAATATATCTATACTATATGAGTATTATTCAACTATTACTGAGTGGTGGCCCTAAGCAGCAAAGATTCAGTGATCATGACCTGGAACCCAAAAGTCTGTAAAATAATAGCCCATATAGGGTTTTGGACCTACTTTTATAGGGTTTTAGGGAGACGATGCCTCTGATTTTGGTGTTCAAGGTTGGAGGTCGAAAGCTTGTGATGCAGCAGCAACAACAACAACTACTACTTCTTCTACTACTACTGCTACTACTAGTACTACTACTTACTATTACTTACTTACTTACTCCTGCTACTACTACTACTACTACTACCACGACGACGACTACTACAACTACAACTACTGCTCCTACTACTACTACTACGACGACGACTACTACTACAAATGCAAACTGCTACTACTACTACCTACTGCTACTGCTACTACTACTACTACTACTGCTACTACTGCTACTGCTACTACTATGCTACTGCTACTGCTACTGCTACTATACTACTACTCCTACTACTACTGCTATGCTACTACTGCTACTACTGCTGCTACTGCTACTGCTACTGCTACTACTACTACTACTGCTGCTACTCTACTGACTACTACTACACTACTACTACTACTACTACTACTACTACTACTACTACTACTACTACTACTACTACTACTACTACTACTACTACTACTACTACTACTACTACTACTACTACTACTACTACTACTACTACTACTACTACTACTACTACTACTACTATTACAACTACTACTACAACTACAACCACTACTACTACCACTACTACTACTACTTCTTCTTCTCCTAATTTCTACTACTATAATGATAATTATCACTAGTATTACTAACCGCGACAGAGGACACTAGTGATACGAAGTAGTTACCTCAACGGCGACGACAGAGATTGCTCCTACTTCTCCAGCTCCAGCTCCTGTTGATGCCCATGGTGCTGGCGCTGGTGCTGCTACAGATGCTGCTGCGCTCATCACGACTGCAGCATCGACAAAGGTTTCCGCCTACAATGACGGACGACGATGAATACAATGATCACGCAAGCAACGGTGCCCACTGTCCGTACCGATGCTTTACGCTTGCGCAGTGCATACTCCTCACGTCGTTCGGCTTCGGGTCATACGACCCCACCTCACCACACTCGCAATCAAGATCAAATGATAACATGATTAGATTCAGGACATAACCGTTGTCACCACCATAGTTGCACCTATATATCCAGAATCTTCATCGTCTGACTCGTCATCACCATGAAGATGGGCATGCCTAATACAGAGGCCCTAACAAATAGACTGGGGTTTTGGGGCCCGTAGTACTATACGTACAATTAGGAACCCCCAAAATAGTATAGGATATTTTACCCATAGGCCCCAAAGTAGCTCCTTTTTGGGGGTTACCTTATAGGATTCTACATATGAAACCCCAAAAAGGAACTACTATGGGACTTCTGGGTAGGCCCCTAAAGTGCCTCGATCCTCAGACTTTTCTCATCCTGCCGATCATGTACCAGGTGGAGATTCCTACAATGGTCTTCTCAGCTCATGGTGCCGCAGACACTATATCACATAGAGACCTAAATAACTATCCATACTACTTGGGTGGGCACCCTAATTATTATTATTATTATAGTATAGTAGGCCCCAAAACCCTATTCTACGTATGAAGAGCTCTATAGTCTATAGTAGTCATGATGGCTGTGGCAAGCTGCACAAACCAGGATGCAGCAGCAAGCGTGCAATACGAATATCGTCGTTGACTCGTCATGATTGCGTTGAACTCGGCCCCACACGCTTCAGACTTCCGCCGGTAGGAGAGCAAGACGATGAGGGCCTCGGCCAGATACTGGCCGAACTTCTCAAATTTCAGGGTCCCCTATGCGGGTCCTTAGTTTAGCAACCTGTCAAAAAAAGCTGGGTTTCGGTTGTGGGCTATAACTGACTGACACGAAGCCACAAACATTCCTGTGGTATATACCCATGGTGTGAGCTCAGCCCCTAAACCCTGAAGCCGCCCATCCCTAAACGCTAACCTAAACCATGAACCCTAAACCCTAAAGCCTAAAAGCCTAAACCCTAAACCCCTAAACCACTCAACCCTAAAACCCTAAACCCTAAAACCCTAAACCACTCAACCCTAAACCCCCTAAATCACTAAACCCTAAACCATGAAGCCGCTCATGCCTGGCACGAGGTCCCTAGCCCTGATAGAGAGAGAGTCCCTCATAGAACGAGGTACCCATAGGCCGCATAGTAGTTCCTTTAGGAGTCTATATATGCACCCCAAAAAAGAACTACTATGGGCCTTCTGGGTAACCTAAGGAGGTGTGATACCGGCTAGTATGAACAGAGTATAATCAGCTCGTTGTATTCACCAAAGCTATAATTAATATTCTCAAGGCAACAGCGCTCCCTGTAACCCAGGATTCATGCTTCAGAGTGGAGGGTCGGGAACTAAACCTACGAGGAACCTAGGATTAAAAAGTTTTGCTTTGTTGGTTTGAAGGCGGTTTTAAGAGAACCTCAACCATAAAAAAAGGAGTAAGGGCTTACTCTCGGTCCTAGGGAAGGACCAACAAGCGATTTGGGATTTCAAACCCTAAACCCTAAACCTTAAACCCTAAAGCCTAAACCCTAAACCCTATACCAGCTGAGCAGGTCGGCGCACTCCAACAGAAACCCTACCTGGACCATTAGAAACCTACCTTTTTCGAGCTCGCCGGAATATCATGTCCTTATACGAAACCTTAAAAATGTAGGCTATTTGGGGTTAAACCCTAAACCCAAGTTCGAGAGAGCGCTTGACTTTTTCCTCACACGCCGCCAGGCTTTTGCAAGATCCAAGTCTTCTCTTCGGCGTCCTCTGTGATGAAGACAGGAAGACCCATACCTGGAACTGCAGAAGAAGTTTGGCGATATACAAAAGGGGCCATAATAATTCGAATTGAATAGGGTTTTAGGGATACAAGGGCTATAATTAGAATAAGGAAACCCCCGAAATAGTATTGGAGATTATTTGGCCCCTGTAGTAGGGCTTAGGCTTTAAGGTTTAGGGTTGATGGCTGAGGGCTTAGGGTCCTGCTAATTACTAGGAAACAGCTGTGGTTTATCAGAACTAGGGTTGCTTCAAAGGGCGAATGTAAGGGAGACTATAAGGTTTCTATTGGGGATAGTCTAGGGGCCGGAACAAGTAGACTGGGGTTTGGGGGTTCTTTTTCTATACGAACCTACGGAATGGTATGGGCAACGGTCCGTCCGTTTTGGTGAGCACGAAGGTGAGGATGAAGTCGCACTGTGCGATGGTGGCGCACAAGATGAAAATTGCTAAACCATTCCCCAGACCCCCGCGAGGATCCAGAAAGTAGATCCCTTAAGGGGGGTTCCTATAAAGTACCCTTAGTAGTATCGGGCCCCAAATTAGGGGATCTACTTTCTAGATCTAACAATCTAGCCAAAAACGAAAACTCGGAACCTTGCCCGGCTGCTCTTCGTGTCTTTGTAGATGGCACAGGCCAGCGCTGAACCCTGAATCTCTAAACCTTGGATCCTGGACCCTCGTAAATTAACCATGGACCCTACACAACTACACAACCCTCAAAACCTCCAAACCCGAAAACCATCACACAAAAAAGTCAAAGCAGACACAGTCGCTCGCGGCGAACTCGTCGACTGCCTGTCGAACTCCAACAACGGAGCCGTCGCCTTTCCAAAGCTATCTCAGATGATACAGATGCTTAGTCGGCTTAGTATATCGTAAGGTCATGCGCTACTGCTTGCACTTGATACTGTCGTGTCCATGTTGTTGCTTGTGTTAGTTCGTCTTTGGTGGATCCCCGTGGATGTTTCTATGTTCGATTGTGGCAGGACTGAACCCTGAGAGGCTCGTCTAGGCATATTTCCGGGTGCATGTTGAACTCCATGGGTGCTTTGCGGCTTTAGAGGGAAAGCACCGGAGCCAGTAGCGGAGGAATCACTCTCAATGCATTCTAATTGTTGAACTTGGGAAGGCTGCCTTCTCGCCCCTACAGAGAATAAACAATTTCTTCTTGCACAAGGCTCACTTTGGGGTTTGAAGCCAAAGGCTTACAGTAGGGTTTTAGGGCCTGGAGTTCGTGTGAGTCGGGTCTGGTATTTCAACACCTCAGATCTAGGAGGGGGGTATTTGGACGAGGAGCCCTGAACAACACTATTCTGATTCTAAACCCCTAGACCCTATATGGGGGCTTCCGAAAATAAAGGGTACCTTATTCTGCGGGCCTTACAATGAGAATCCTACTATTTAGGGCACTATATTAGGGTCCCCTCTTTTCGGAAACTCCCATATTACACCCAGTCCTTAATCCCCAAACTCATCCGAACCCTGACTCCTCCTCGCCTTCCGTTGTGTAGTTGCTGCCGGCCATCGTCCCGCCTCTTTTCTTGAGAGACGGGGGATCTGTGACTTAGTGCTTTCGGGTTTGTGGTTTTGGGGTTTTGGGCCAGGCTTCTAAAGGGTTGAGGTTGGTTTAGGGTTTACCTGTAGTCTCCATTGTAGTTCCTTTTTGGGGTTACCTTATAGGTTCCTTGTTATATATTTGGTTAAACCAGAAAAAGAAACTACAATGGAAACTATATAGGTAGGGTTTAGGGCCCGCTCGATTGAGATGAAACGCAGGAAGCGCAACAGTAATGCGCGTGATTCTCACCACGACGATCGTCACAGCACAAGGGGAATGCTAAGAGTTTACTATGAACACTGGACATAGCTGCTTGAGTGTGTGGGCCTTCGGTTTAAGATCCGCTGTGAGCCTTAAACCAAACCGCCATGAACCCCACCCTCCCGTCACCCACCCAAAAACCGCTCTCCGCTGGCCCCTCGAACACACTCAGGTCTCTCTGTCCCGTTTCAAAGCTGGTGGTTGTGGAACTGGAACAAGAGGCGGCTGAAGGTATGCGTTGTTCATCTTTTCCTAACCTCATTACGCTGTCCCCTATAAAACCACTTACCTAGTGAAGTCATACTGTGCAAAAGCCCGGAACCCTGTTTCAGGTGTTGAGGTTGTTATTCATGTTGATAAGATTACGGTGGGTATTCTTGACAGCAGTATTGGTATTGATATGTATGGTTCGTCATGTTAATCTTTTTGGTAATATTCGCAGTTTACTGACACCATAAATCATACCAGTATGCTTAGTATGGTTAGCCTGGCGAGCAGTATTAGTAATATCATGACTGCTGATACTATGGCGACAATCCTTCAACACTTTTCGCACATCAGTCGCTCGGGAACAGGCGCGCATAAATACTCTTACCCTAGTTGCTGCTGCTACTACTACTACTACTACTGCTACTACTACTGCTACTACTGCTACTACTACTACTACTCCTACTCCTACTGCTACTGCTACTGCTACTGCTACTGCTACTGCTACTGCTACTGCTGCTACTACTACTACTACTACTACTACTACTACTACTACTACTACTACTACTACTACTACTACTACTACTACTACTACTAGTATGACTGTTGTTCTTAATACTATGTCTGTCCTTATTGTGGTAACTACGATTATGACTACTGTGATTATGATTGCTCTTGTTGTTATTCTTACTGAGGCCCCTTTCCCAGACCACCAGGAGGATCCAAACAGTAGATCCTAAAGTGCCCGGAAATATTTAGGGCCCCCTAAACCCTAAACCCCTAAACCCTAAGCACTTCTTAGATCCTCCCAGAGATCTGCTTTTATATGCCGACCTTGTTGGGCTTCAGTACAAGGGCATGTATGTGGGAGATCCCTATCCTAACTTGTGCTTATGTGCTTTGTGAGGGGCCCCAGCCCTAAACCCCGAAACCCTAAACCCCTAAACCCTAAACCCCTAAACCCAAACCTAAACTACTGCCGCCTTCTGCCAGAAGCGGCCACCAAGTCGCCAAATCCGTCCGTACCTCGGCCGGCGAGATGGAAATTTTGGGGGGTTTTGGGTACCTTTAAAGGCTCCTCTAAGGGATCTATAAGGTTTTTTGAGGGTGTGATACTTTTGGGGGTTTAGTTTTGAGGGGTTAGGGTTGAAAGTTTGGGACTTAGGGTTGAGGTTTTGGAATTTAGGCTGGAGGGTTTGGGGGTTCATATATGGGAGTTTCAGAAAATTAGGGGTACCTTATTTGGGGTCCTTATAATAAGGATCCTACTATTTAGGGTACTATATTAGGGTCCCCTATTTTCGGAAACTCCCATATGTTTTGGTACGGACTTCAAAAGTGCTTTGGGGCTGAGAGGTTGTAGGTTTGGGGGTTAATCTCCGTAAACTCCACCAGTTTCTCAAGACAAAAAGATCTTGAAGGATCCTGACTAAGGTTTAAGGTTTGAGGTCTACGGTTTAGGTTTTTGTTCTAGGTCATGGTTGGGATAGGCTTAAACATGTAATCTTTCCTTATTGGGTTTGAGTACCCATTAACATGTAAAATGTTACCCAACTATGACAAAGCTTTGGGGTGGGTTAACTTCATGGCCTAGGGCTGGGTTTGGCAGAGGAACGCTTTCTGACTGATCGGCAAACTTTGACCCTAACTCGTTTAAGCCCCAAAGGCCCTACATCGGGCTCTGAACACACACACAGTAGCTCCTGCCTAGGGGCTCTCGGATGCGCATCCTACTGCTTAATATTCTGTGGTGTGGTCCCTCGGTTTTTTTCCGAGAATCCCCGAATGCCGAGCGCGACAGCCCTAAACTCCGCAAAGCCGCCCTTAAACGAACCCTTGTCGATTCCTTATACATCCTTGTACTAACCCTCGACGGACCCACATATGGGTAGTTGTCAAAATTATGGCCCCTTTTTGGTACCCTAAATCA